TTTTTTTTTTTTAATGTTTATTTCTGAGAGACAGAGTGTAAGCAGGAGCAGGGGCAGAGAGAGAGGGAGACACAGAATCCAAAGCAGGCTCCAGGCTCTGAGCTGTCAGCACAGAGCCTGATGTGGGGCTCGAACTCACAACCTGAGATCGTGACCTGAGCTGAAGTCGGACGCTTAACCGCCTGAGCCACCCAGGCGCCCCAGGAAAGGTAGTATCTTGAGGAAATCACACACATTTGAATTTTACTTCCTCCTTGGAAGAAACTTTTTTTTTTTTATGCCTTCTGTATTTTATAATGATGTGTTATAAAATGAGTAGATGCTCATTATAGAAAGTAAGAGAAAAGAAGAGGGGGAAGAAAATCATGCAACGTCGAACTGGCCAAAGCGATCCCCATTAACGTCCCAGTTAGTCACCGTGGGACGGTGGGAGGCTGCAGGGTGCCAAGGTGAGGGTGCCGACCTGGGGTCAGGGACTGAGGGTGTGAATCCCGACTCTGCCCTTTAATTTTTCTGTCCCACTCTCTCATCTGTAAAATGAAGTTGACAGTCATAGTTCCTATCTCATCGGGTCGTTATGAGACTTAAATACGTCCGTTCATATAAAGTGCATAATTAGCTCTCAGTAAATGCGGGCTTTTATAACATCTTCTTACAGGTGTTCCTGAGCGCCTGTTTTTTTGTATTTGCTTGGTTGTAGCCTTCATGTAGATATATGTATAATTTCATATCCTGCTTCTCTCTCTTAATATTATTTCATAAATATTTTTAATACTGTCATAAACTGTTCCTAAGCATTTTAAATACCTAAATAATACTCCATGTGGGTATATGACCGACATTTAAGGTAAGTGTTCCCTTATGACTGGACCTGTAGCTTATTTCCAGTTTTCCATGCAAAGTGTTGAGCAGGCATCAGGGTGGTTCAGCAACTATTTATTGCGCACATAACTATGAAGCACAGGCCCTGTGTTAAGTATGGAGGATACAGAGGTAAATAAGACAGGCTTTCCTCTCTGCCATGGACATGATGGGTACGTGATACCAGAGCGAAGTCCCCGTGGCAATGTCTGGCAGGTGGTTGGAACTTGACCTTTAACCCAGGACATAGGTCAGAGTACAGGATCATCTGGGCAGGGAGGAGAGTAGAGGTCAAGGCAAGGGTGAGATTGCCTGGGGAGAGGGAGGCACAGATCAAACCTGGATTTAGCAGGTGGAGAAAGGAAGAGGAATCAGCAAAGGAAGTGAAGAAGACTGACCAGAATCAGGGTTGGACGGTTATGAAATTCAAAAGAACACAGCAGTCAGCAGCATCAGGTGCTGCAGAGAGAGAATGGGATGGGAAAACTGCTAAGAGGTCACTGGTGACCTCGGGAAGCAGATTCAGTAGAAAGAGATGGGATGGGGGTCTGGACCGGAGGGGTGGGTAGGGA